AAAGTGATTGTTTCAACATTTTCATTGTCATGCAGAATCAACCAAAGCCATTTAAGTTTATACCAACTCCTAAGCACTGTTATGTACTTCCCTGTATCTAGTTTTAGTGGAAGCATTGGTGAACTAATAAAAAACAAGGTACTTTCGTAATTTGGTTGTTTTGTACCGGCAAGCAATTTAACATAAACTGCCTCTGTGGCCGAACGGTTACCATGCCGGACTGCCACGCAGAGGTCTCAGGTTCGATTCCCGGGCCGGGAGAAATATTTGTATGACCTACATTTGTTTCTCTCGTGAGTTTGGGTGTAATTTGTGGTTGTCTATATGTGTGTCCATGGCACCCGCGACACAGGGTTTCCCTAGTGCGGGGCTATATTGAGTGTGTGTGTTATTATTATTATTATTGTAAAACGTAATCTTATCGTCTATTTTTGTATTGACTTTGTTTATTTTTTATTCTTCTGTATTGAATAATATGATAATAGTGTACGCAGCCGTTAATGCAATGCAGATTAATTTTCTGTTTGTAATGCATCAAGTTTAATTTATTATATTAATTTGTATTCTGTAGTTGAAGCAATAAATAAATGAATAAATAAATGAATACTCAAATAGGTAGCGATAAGCATTTTAAATTACATAATAGATTCACTAATAGTTTTTGCTAATATAGTTACATCGTTGTAATAATAAAAAATTAAGTTTTTTTTTATAATACCAACTGACGGGACAAGCAAGTCGTGTTCCCGATGGTAAGCAGCACGTCTGTCCATAACAATTGCAGTGCCACTCAGAGCTTTAAATCGCAAAGACCTGAGGGGCACTGCCACTGCGCCCATCACCCTGAGACATAAGTTGACAAGTCCCATGTGCCTGTAATTTCAACAGCACCCTTACCCTTCAAAATTTTACCCTTGGCGGCAGAAATAGGTAAGGTGGCAGTACTTCCCTGGACGAACTCTTTCACAGGGAGCTCTACTGCTACCAAAAATATAATAATGAATTAATATGATGTCCCATGTGCCTGTAATTTCACCAGCACCCTTACCCTTCAAAACCGTAACACAGTAATGCTGACATTAGGCACTGCTAGGCGGCAGAAATAGGTAAGTTGCCAGTACTACCCTGGATGAACTCTTTCACAAGGATCTCTACTTCTACTGAAATAGTTTGCAGGCGAGGAATTCCATTTCATAGCCGTCCGAATGTATTTTTATACGATTCACAAAACTGGACCCAATTCAGATATGTACCTACCTAAACTAAAAGTATTTCATTACCATAGTCAAACGATGAGAATGTATCCTACAGGATGGGTACACAACATGCCAAATTAAATAAGTCTATATAAACATTATAATATAATTAAATAAGTGACAGTAACTGCAAATTTGTACATAATATTTTAAGAAAATTCAACCAATTTTGTCGTCTATAAATGTGAAAGCGTAAGGGTAGTTTCCATTATGTTGCAATATTTTATTTATCGTTGGACGACTGTCGCGTCTAGCCTATTCCCATATCACGATTATCTGACGCGACTGTGTCGTGGATATTTATTTTATAATTGAACGACTGTCGTTCTAGCTCTTCCCATTGTCAAGGCAGTCTGTCGTTGTAACGTCAAAAAAGCCGTGAACATCAGTTAATCGTGTTGTTCTATGTGTGAACAGCTTCATTTAAATATACAAGCCACGACACTTTAAACTGCACGACTAAGTGTCGTCACGACATAATGGGAACACGCTACGTGCGAATCTTTGGAACCCCAGCGTACGCCTATTATGGAAAAGTGAAGGCGGAATTAAATCGTGCATTTCCATCGTATACTCTCCGTTATAAATCTTGTAGAATATGAGATAAATATTACATATAATAAAAAAATGCGTTTGCAACTCATCATCAAACTTAGGAGTTATACTCTTGTCGATGGTGCATCTTTCAATCATCTCTCTTATAAGCCAGCTCCATGAGCTCTTCCCCCCTTCCCCTCGATCTTTCCCTCCAAAATGGTCCTTAAGCAGTTGTCGTGTCGTATCAGAGGTCCAATCATTTTTCATTCACTACAACTAACGAAATTTAGTTTCTTGGGTTCAACAAAATATATAAGTAATGGATTCACATATTATTATAATTGAAGCCCAAACCGTCTACGGCAAATAATAATACGTATGAGTTTATGTGTAAATCATGTCTAGAATATTTTCCTGTAGACTAAATACCTAGACTTAAATACGGCTCATCCGTATTCACAATAATTTCGTTCAATGCATGATAGCTGTCACGCTATCCTCATTTGTTTTAATGGTGATGTTCGCATGCTTTGTCAACTACCATTTCGTGACATATCCATTTTTAACCGACTTCTAAAATAACAAAACCGCACACACATAGACAACACAAATTCCAACCAAACTCACAAGAGAAATAAATGAAAGCCATTCAAATATTTATCCCGGCCGGAGAATCGAATCCGGTACCTCTGCGTAGCAAACCAGCATGGCAACCGTTCGACCACTTAGATAATAGCAGTGGTAGCTTTAGTAAAATCATCGAGTATTCAACCAGAAATAGAGACGTAATGCCATTTAATTTGTTTGAAAACTTTTCTGCCGAACCATTACGGTGACAACTAAGCTCCGATTGGCCAGCCCGAATTCGAAACAATTGACGTGTGCCGTCAATGGACGAAAATTGAAAAATTACATGTTTAATATTTAATTACCGATGAAAATGTGATTCAGTTTGTTTTGTTATTCGATGTTTTGGTGTTTTTCCCACACTTCCGAACGGAACAGTTAGAGATATTTTCTTTATTACAATAAACACAGAATATTTTTGGAATATACGGAGACGTACACACAGGTCAGTTGTTGGCGCTGTACTATTTCAGCTTTCTAATTTGTGATTTCAGTGCAAACAAGAGTCGATATTTAAAAGTGATATAAGGCCCATTCGCCTGATGAGTTGCCATGGATGGATGGCCCTTATCTCGTCTCTATTTCTGGTTATATACTCGATGGTAACAGTAGAGTTCCCTGTGAAAGAGTTCGCCCAGGGAAGTATTGCCACCTTACCTGTTTCTGCCGCCAAGCAGTAAGGAGAGCATTACTGCGTTCCGATTTTAAAGTAAGGGTGCTGGTGAAATTACAGGCACATGGGAGTTGTTAACTAATTTGTCAGGATGTCGGGCGCAGTGGCAGTGCCCCTCAGATCTTTGTAATATAAAGCACCGAGTGGCACTGCCACTGTTATGGGCAGGCGTGTCGTTTCGCTTTCCAACATGCGCACGAGATGTTCGTCTCATCGCCTAATATTATTAAAAAAAAGTAGATTAAAAATGTAGTTAAAAAAGGGGTTCTTAATTCGATTTTTTTTATTTAGTTTTGTTTGTACCATATCTGAGTTACTTTATTTCAAATTTGGATGCGTTCGCAAACTATTTAGGATTTACAATAACAAATATAGGCATTTGATTTTTAAAAACTCAACGTTCTTAAAAATTACGAAAATTGTCTTAAAACAAAAGTTCTTGCATATTACTTAAGAAGGTTTTGACCTTAAATTTTGATATAATTATTAATACAATGATCGGAACACTCAGAAAAAATTTCTTCGATCCTTTCGGATTCGAACCGACGTCTTCTTACATACCGTGCCAGACGCTATACCAACTAAGCCACGGAACGAACCAACGGACCTCACGAATTTTTCTATGTGCTTGTGTCGTGTCTTTGTACTTGGTATTTCAACGACTTTTTAGTCGTAGCGCCATCTATGAGAAATCTATGACTGATTTATCACCCAGTTAGTACCTTTACAGCTACCAGTCCTGACGAGAGATGTCGCTATTCACTCTATGAATTAAATTTTTATTGAATTGATATTCAATTATTTTTTGTGAAATTACTCCACTAGTTTGTTATAATTATTAATACAAAGATCGAACACTCAGAAAAAATTTTGAGTTACGAAAAATATGACATCGGTTATCGGCTAAATTTCGTTTTTACAATCTTTGAAAAGGTATTTTGCAGATGTGACGTAATTACCTTGGTAATAATTTCCTGCTAAATTTTAATAACAATTTGTTTTACAACATAATATAGTAATCATATTATTGCAAACCAACCGAATAAAAAATAACTCCCTTTCGCATCACTAGCGGTCTTAACTAGAAGAGCATACAATAAAGAAACCTAGATTTAAATTTCATTCCGCGCCTATTCACTGAACGGCGCCAACCCATATACGATCCACTGCGGGACACGGTTTAATTCAATGTAGAGTTTTCAATAAACAACTCATTTCTATTTTTAATTTACGTAAAATTATCGAAATTTTTTAAAGTTATTTCTTGATAAAGTTTAATGTCTCGTATTTGTAGAAAAAAATTAAATAAAAACTAGTTTAGTTATTTGAAATAAAGTAACGTAATTATTTATAATTAGTTTTTGAGTAATTTTCAGGTTAGTTTTCTGTAACTAATTTTGATGGCAATTTTTGTTTTATAATTATTGTAAAATATTATAATGAATATTATTTAATATTATTGAAGTGTAGTATCTAGTAGATGCTCGAATATTTTAATAATAAAAATTGCCATTGAGAATAGGTACAGAAAACTGGCCTGAAAATTACCTTTTTCCTGGCAAGTAAAATATTATATTAAATCGTAAAAGTTTCATTACTTTATATATAAATAGCTATAGCTATAGCTCCCACGCAATTTCCTTCTCGGTGTGGGTTCAAAAATACTTTATTCTCATTAACAGACAGGTGTGTAATATGTGTAAAATGATTATTCTGTCAGGTCTAAACAATTTTAACATCATTAGAGATCCTTACATCATAAATTTGTAGACTAAAGAAAAACCAAGACATCAATATGGACGGCAACTGGTCGTACCACATCGGACTGAGGTCCTCCAATCTGACTAACAGTACAGTGAATCTTCAAGAAAGCTTTGAGATTGATTTGGAAGATACTAATTGGATTTTGACTTCTTCTTTCATCATCTTTACTATGCAGACTGGTAAGTGATCTTGTCAGAATTTTTACGGCTTCAAAGTGGATCTTTTGTGCGAATAAGATTTATTTCATAAACCTGTTTCATTATATATCACACACACACTCACACATACTCTCTTATTCACACACACATTCTCATAACTTAAGTTGAATATTAGCATATTATTGTTTTCCTCTCAGTTAATTTTTGTTTTGCTCCCTTCAAATGTTTTGCTATATTATATATATTAGGAACCCATCCAATTGAGCCTCTGTCTCTTGATTGGTTTTGCCTTGTTCAAGAGTCAGTGTCGTCATTTGCTGCTTCCTGTTCCACTTTCTGTAAATAGTTGTATTTCTGAAATCGCTGTATAATTTGTAATTGTCTTTTCGTAAAATTTTGTGGAAATAAATAAAATTTGTTATTATAAAATGTATTATTATATATCTTATATTTGTAGATAGCATGTGTGTCAATGTATTTGCCTTGTTTTTGTATTTGACAAATACGGCAAACACCAAACACGCGTTATCACGCGCTGGTCGGTTCCTCAACGCACATTAAAGGAGTCGCACGGGCAAATATGCAAGCAAACCGTCCACACTAAGGTCGTATTCATATTATTTTAACTCCTTTTTTGGCTCCATGTGTAGACGGTCATATTTGTCGGTATCTGCGTATTTGTCTGTTCGTCAAATATTTTTCCAAGTACAACAAATACCCAATAGCCAATAACTTCACGTGAAGTGCCACCAATACATATCTTGGAAAAGTTTTATGAACAGTTTTTATTTAAAAAATCGATCTCAAAATTTTTTTATTGCGCTTTCGGAATGTTCGTTACCGCGGTCGATAATTAGAACGCATTAGAAATCCTCATGAAAGCGAATCATACGAGCCCAAACACAAGGTAATTCTTGTACAGTGTTGAGGAGTGCCCTCTCATCTGTCTGCCACTTATATCATCAGATGGCATCTAGATGTTCACTTTTTATTTTTGTCGCTCCGTCATTACATAGAATGACGATTATGCCAATGTCACTAAAAATACGGTGAGTTCTAATAAGACATTAACTAACAGGTGTTGATGAATTGGTCCACCGAAGTACTCAGGAGAGAATCTAAAACAAAAGATAGCACAAGCACGTAACACAGATTTATAGATTATATGATTTAACTGGATAATTTACTTAGAGTAGAAATATAGGGTGGAAACACAAAAGCTAAAAGATTATTTATGTTAGTGGGCCGGGGGAATTTTGGAGGTAGCAAATTATAAAGCGAGACAGAAATATTAGGCAATTGAAAAAAAATTGTTCCAATTTACCGTCCTCTAGGCCACATTCGCACAGAGAGTAATCTCGGACTCTGATTTTACGCAAAAAAAACGCTGTGCAAACATGACCTAGGCGTTAACGTGTAATGGTAGAAGTGACTTTTTTAGGCAAATAGCGGCATTTAAAAAACCAGAGCGCAGTGGGCAAATTTGGTTGAAGTTTACCATAGTGTTTATCAACAGTTTGTCGTGTTCCCAGCCACAATTCCGACGAGCAGGCTGATTTTAATTCAAATCGGAATTGATCTAATCGGGTAGCCCATCCGAGTCTCGAAATCAAATGGGTTTCCGAGCCAGAAGATGAGCTTGATTCCTACTATATCTTTCTAATATGTGAGTTAAATCAAGTATTGTCCCGATTTGAAATGTCAAAAGTTTCACAATCGACCAGTTGTGAATCGCAATTATGTGCCTCGACTCGTAAGAGACGTAGGGTCGTATTCTAGAACTCTATTCAATGCTCAAGTCAGGATTGCTCTGGCAACACAAGCACTGGAAATACGACCCTAATGGCAGGGACTTGAGTATGATTTCTTGTGCTTTGAATCATACTCAAGTCCTGACTTGAGCATTGAGTAGAGTTCTAGAATACGACCCGTAGTTTCCGATCGGGAGAGACAATCAAAATCAAGCTGCAGGAGGTTAGCGTTTGGGGTTTGGTCATGGCGAGCAGATCCCTGGGGAAGTACTCACTATTTGCACACGCCAGTTCTTGTTGCATCTTTTGCAAAGGCGTCTACTACTTCGTTGTCGCTGATCCCACAGTGACCAGGAATCCAGGCCAGAGTTACCTCAATTCCTGCACATTGATATCGATGCAGAGCTTCACACTATAACATCTTTCTTTCAATGGCATTACATCCAAATGCCAAGTTTTATGAATCGGTGAAAGTGGGTGAAATTGAATAAACTGAATTTGTCCCCTAATTTGTCATCTTTGGAAGTGGAATATTTTCGTCAAATTTTAATGGATCAGTACTGAGGGACCAACAAAAAAGAATTATTGAAATTAGTTTCACAAATATCAGAATAATCGCGTAACATGCGCACAAGAAAATAAAATACGGACAAATGAAGAACATCCTCATGTTCTGAATTGAGTTTAAAATAATAATAATTCTTGGAAATTGCAGTGCGTTCTATAACGATGGCTCGAATGAATGCTATGCCAACATGATGCCAAGTAAATTTTTTGATCATTTCTGTTTTTATTTTGCTTTATTGTTCCTTTTAATATCATTAGAGACCTGGTTACGTCACAAATTTGTAGACTAAAGAAAAATCCAGGATATCGGTATGGACGGCAACTGGTCGTACTCAGACCACATCGGACTTAGGTCCCCCAATCTGACTAACACTACAGTGAATCTTCAACAAAACTTTGAAATTGATTTGGAAGATACCAATTGGATTTTGATTTCTTCTTTCATCATCTTTACCTTGCTTTGTTTTTTATTTTGTTTTATTGTTCCTTTATGTTTATTTTTCACCAAAAACGTTTTTTTTTCGAGTTTCGTTTCTTTGTTTCTTTATTTTTGACACAAAATTCGGGAAGCATGATATTAGTAAATAAATAATGCTGTTTATATTAAAAACAGACACAGTGTTAGTTGGACGTTGGTTATGTACTCGATGATTGGAAGTATCGATAAGGTAACCCTGAATTGTATGTTGTCCGTCAATAAATATCCAGTTCCAAAAATAGATGACTTATTTAGTAGCCTATCGGGTAACGTGTTTTTCATGAAACTAAAACTATTTTTTCGGATCTAAAATGGCGAATATTTGTTTTTCTTCAAACAAATCAACGTCTCGGGCTCCTTGCAGATCCTATGGTCACGGCTGACCATGTGACAAGTGGTCATAATACAGTTAATCCACTTTTTAGAAGTTCAAACTCAGCTTTCTTTCTCAATTAACGTTTTGATACCAGGTTTCGGAATGTTGGAATCGGGGTGTGTGTCCATAAAGAATGAAGCCAACATCATGATGAAGAACTTGGCTGATATTTCACTCGGAGGTAGGTAGTACATATTGTAAAATTATAAAAAGAACAAGCAGAAGATAGTAAATTTTTTGTGTGGGTTGGCTTTTGTCATCTAAGTATGCAGAAGTTACATATCATCAAACCTTTTACAAAAAGGTTTGATTTCACTTTAGCTTTAAACCTCTAAAGCCTGGGGTCAACTCAAATTGCCCCCCTTACTTTCACAATTACGAAAGTACACAGTTCGTTCGGGCAGGCTCGGTCCTATTGTGTATTTATGTTCGCCTAATGTCGTCACCTTTGTGTTGTTCAGGATATCGTTTTCAAATAGTTTTCTAATTTTAAGTAAAATAAAAAGCAATTTTGACTAGTTAGGGCTCGGCCGCGCTCGCCGTCGCCCTCATTGCTGTGCTGCTCGGGGTCATGGCCCCTGCAGCACCAACCAGGCTACACCACTGGCTATAGTCTTATAGATGTGTTACCAAACCTAGATGTAAGAAAATACAGAATAGTTAAACTATGTAACGGTTACAGTGCTCGTTTAATTTAAGCTTTTATATTTATATAGTATTTCTCATTGTAAGTGAATGTTTGAATTCTGTTTTGAAAAATAAGTATCTAAAAAAATTATTTCGTAAATTTTAAATATCAACCAGAATTTTATGAAATGAATTTCTGACTTTGTGTAGACGACTGTCAAGCACAGTCAGTCTACTTTTTATATCAAAAAATGCTATTCTTCCTCTCAAAGACACTCTTTGGCCCACATTGTATTTGTAACTGCAAAACATTATACTTGTACACTGTATGGTACACATCATACGATAATCGTATTTATTTATACAGGTCTGACATACTGGATATTCGGCTACGGCATGTCATTTGGCCAAGGTCCCTTCTCGAACCCTTTCATAGGTACGGGGGACTTCTTAGTGGACCCCCCGGTGGGCGATGCTCTCATGGGTCCAGTCTTCGCTTCATTTCTGTTCCAACTCTCTTTTGCTACTACCGCTACTACCATTGTCAGTGGCGCTATGGCTGAAAGGTGAGCCAATTAATTTTAATTGCGAGCCAATTCTAGAGCCAAAACGTCAACCTCCATAACTTTAAAAAAAACCAAGTGCGCATTTCACCTCCATTTTACCTGATGGACAGTGACTATGAGGTCGACGATGTAGCTTGCACACCGAAATAATGCCTATTCACTTTCGCCTTGAAAAGGTCCAAGTTATAGCGCTCGGGGAATAAGTCCGTAGGCAATGAATTCCACTCCCTAGCCGCTATAAATATCTAAGGTCCTATGAAGTAAAAATGCAATAGAAAATTCGTACTCGTACAATATAATGCAAATTCTTTCACATGGTTTCATTGAGAATCTCTTCCGCTAATTTTTTAACACAAATTAATTGTTTTTTCTATGGACAATAAGGACGGACTTCAAAGCATATTGCTTATTTTCGTTCCTAAACACGATCGTGTACTGCGTGCCGGCCGGCTGGGTGTGGGGCGACCACGGATTTCTCAACAAGCTGGGGGCCGTCGATATCGCTGGATCCGGCCCTGTCCATCTCATCGGTTAGTACCAATTACTTTTTTTTTTATACCGTTTAAGTAATTAAGTGAAGCGACGAATAAGACGCGCGCTTGGTGGTAAGCGGCACGCCAATCCATAACAGTTGTTACATAAATAACAACTGTTTGGCGTGGGTGGCGGTGGTCATATGAACGAGATCGAATTCCATTCTTAAATGTAACACATCTGTAATGCCATGGAATAAATTTCATCTCAATATCTCAATTATTCTGAGTTTCATTGAAACACAAAAATGTTATGACCATATTGAAAACCCTACAACTTGAAAGTGACTGACACATGGTCTCTTAAAATCTTTCCTATCTTCGCAGGAGGCTCATCTGCATTCGCATCCGCATTAATGCTAGGTCCCCGCCTCGGTCGATATGCGCGAGGCACCGCTCCATTACCTTTGGGTAGCCCAGTCAATGCTGTAATGGGGACTTTTGTGCTGTGGTGGGGCTGGTTGGCTTTCAACTCAGGTAGCACTTATGGTGTGAGTATCTCAACACGTAGAGGGCACAGTAGTGGCAGTACCCCTCAAATTCTTCATTCCATCACTTGGTAAAATAAAAAATGTAAATATAAGGATTTGGGGACCCTACCTCCAAATGCTGCCTAGAATTATTTTCATACAACAGGATTTGAACCATGACTATTTTAAACTACACGTACAATTTTGAAAAAAATATTTACATAAATATTTACTAAATGACGGTATGAACAAGTCGTGCCCCTGGTGGTACGCGATCCATAACAATTGTTGGCACGAAGTAGGTTCCGAGTTCGATACCCCATGGAACTAATTTGGATAATAATAATCTAAATATTAGTGGTGGCTGAAGCCTCCATTTACGCATAACCTGCGTGAGGAGGCGCCGCTCTTTCTTAGGTACACGTTTCAACGGAAACTTATTTAAATAACTTAACCAAACAAAAAATATAAAAAAATTATTACTTAGTACTTACAATATATTTTATCTATTATTGTGTTTGTGTTTGTGTGTATGTGTGTGTGTGTGTGTGTGTTTTTTTGATAACAGATTTAATATCGCATCTTTGGTACTCAAACTACAGCGAATTTTCCTAATTTGGAAAGGCCTGGTTGTCAGGCACGTTACATAACAGTGCTCCTTATGTTACCTATCACGTAATACCACATAAGATAATCCGCCATACTCGTGGTGAAGGTCATTGAAGAAAACACTCAAGTATATATCGTTCTAGTTAAACTAAATTGTCCATTTAACTAACTCATTGGTTAAATTATGGTACTTATTTAGTCGCGGTGAAGCGGAATCGTTCAGTTAAATAACCGCCATTTTGTAATTAAGATGGTTTAACAAAATGGCGGTCATTTTTAGCATGCATCCATTAAATTAATTTGTTTGTTTTTACCTGGTACGGAGTATTTTTATTACGAAACAAATGCATGGCGGAATCAAAGGAGTATATAAAATAACGATTTCGAATTTATTTTGAGATGTACGAAGCCAAAACTTCATCGTGATTTTTAATTTTGAAGTAAATTGTAACTCAACGTTATGTGACTAGAATTGTTTACATGAAAATTCATTGCACAAAGCACAAACATGTCTAACGATACAACTCTGGTCAAGACCAGGTCCTTGAATGATTGATGCCTCGAGACTAGGCCTGCTTTTAGGAATATTTTAAATAATATTAAACATTAGGCAACAACAACGTTCCTCGTCCCAATCCCTGATCCCAAAGTCAGTAACTAAAGCACTTGTTTGTTATAATTATTAATACAAAGGTCGCACACTTAGATAACATTCCTTCGATCCAACTGGATTCAAACCGACGTACCGACGACTAGACCACGAAACGAACCACGGATTGTTGTCGATTCTTTGTATTTGGTTTTCAACGACTTTTAGTCATAGATGGCGATGAGAAATCTTTGAAAGTATATTTCGTCACTAAAATAAGTTCTAAATGTTCGATCTTTATATAATATATGTAATATATACGTGTGTGTGTGTGTGTATGTAATATGTATAAATAAACTAGTGTAATTAATAACGCATACACTCAACTTAGCCCCGCACTAGAGAAACCCTGTGTCGCGGCTGCCATGGACACACACATAGACAACCAAAAATTACACCCAAACTCACGAGAGAAGTACTTCCCTGGATGAACTCTTCACAAGGACCTTTACTGCTCCTAAATTAAAGATAAAGATAAATTTAGTCACTATAAAAATTTTACCTAATTATCTTACCTAATAATCTACCTAATAATCTTATTAAATAACCTTTTAATTACATCCATGCGCCAGACTATCACAAACAGTGAAAATATAGTATGTTTACCTACATAGGTTTAATTATGATTAGGAGTGCAAGTTAATCTAGGTGATACTTAAACTAAGTAAAATTGTCTAAACAATTAGTCAATATAATTATTAATACAAAGATCGAACACTCAGAAAAAGCACTCAGAAAACATTCCTTCGATCCGGTCGGATTCGAACCGACGTCTTCTTGCAAACCGTGCCAGACGCTACACCAACTAAGCCACGGAACGAACCAACGGACCTCACAAATTTTTCTATGTGCTTGCGTCGTGTCTTTGTACTTGGTCTTTCAACGACTTTTTAGTCGTAGCGCCATCTATGAGAAATCTTTGACAGATTTATCACCCAGTTAGTACCTTTACAGCTACCAGTCCTGGCGAGAGATGTCGCTATTCACTGTATTAATTAAATTTTTATTGAATTGATATTCAATTATTTTTTGTGAAATTACTCCTCTAGTTTGTTATAATTATTAATACAAAGATCGAACACTCAGAAAAAGCACTCAGAAAAAATTATTTCGATCCGGTCGGATTCGAACCGACGTCTTCTTGCATACCGTGCCAGACGCTATACCAACTAAACTTCTTTTCTGAGTGCTTTTTCTGAGTGTTCGATCTTTGTATTAATAATTATAACAAACTAGTGGAGTAATTTCACAAAAAATAATTGAATATCAATTCAATAAAAATTTAATTAATTAGTCAATATATTTTGTTCAATAACATTGAAGTACAATAAAACAGGAATACTTAATTACATTAGCTAGCGTCTTAACTATTGTTAATATTACGTAATTACAGATGCTAAATTTTCAGTGTCATTGTAGTTTAATCCTTGTAACCAGTCTTGTATGGTGTTCTTACATTGAAACTTATTCATAGGACATGTACATAGTGAACGATTCATTTTATTATACAAAAAGCTACCAAGAAAGCAAAGGAATCTATGGGAGTGTGCAGTTCGAAACCGTTCAGTGGAACAAACGATTTTTGTTTTGAAACAAAATTGTATGTATACAGATACTGTATTAACAAATTATGCTTTAAAACATACCAGTCTCCTAGTTTTATAGTTTTATTATTCACAAGGATAAGAAATTATGTAAAAAACGTAATAATCCAAACAATTTAAAATTATGACAGGTAAGTGGCGCAAAGTGGCAGTATGCAGCGCGAGCAGCTGTCATGACCATGATGGGTTCCTTCGGTGGAGGCTGCTTTGGACTTTTGTGAGTTAAAATATGATATTAATATTTATTTGCCCTGGCGACATTAATTAATCACATAGAAATCATATAATTAATCGTAAAATACATAATTCATGACCAATGTAAACGCGCAGGATAGGATAGACCGTATGAAACTGGCGCGTGTGGGAGTGCGCGATAGCGCTCGGGACTGACGAGCGAAATCTCGCGGTCTCTCCCTTTTCCTTCCAACGTGTTTACACGCGCTAATACATGTTAGACTAACGTTCCAATTACCTGGTCAAGTATTGTCAAAAGTTTCCGATCGGCCAAATGTGAATCCCAATTACGAAGGTACTGCTCGTTCACTGTGATGACCTCCCTGAGAAGAACGAGCAAGAAACTCTGGGGAGTGCTATTTTCAAATATTAACCGCTAACAATATTGCGTCATGTAATGTGTTTTCAAATACGATTTGACGCTTCGGAATATATTCAAACACTATTTATATAGAATAGAATATAATAGAATAGAATAGACATTTATTGCAACGCCACAACACATAGATACAAAAAAAATATATTGATACTACTACTACTTAGACAAGCAAAACAAAACAAAAAGACGTAATTAACAAAATTAAAATAAAATGAAATAAGACAATAACAAACAAAGAGCAAAACAGAAAAATACTAAATATAACAACTACAAATGTTGTACTGTCATGTGTGCGGTTGTGGCGTACGCAAAAGGACTTCATTCAGCTTATGCCACAGCCGCAATTGACTGTGGCGCTGGTTTTCAATGAGCCCTGATATGAATAATGGTTTTTAGTTTCACAATGATCAAAAACAAAGGCAAAGCTGACGTGATGGAGCTCATAAACAGCATACTTGGATCCCTTGTTTCTATCACTGGTAAGTTACACAGCATCATCAAACCAAATATACTCAATATCAAATATCTGTGATATATATGGGTATTCGACAAAAAATTAAGCATTTTATAACAGATTTCAAAAAGGAGGAGGTTCTCCATTCGACAGTAGTTTTTTTTGTATGTATGTTGCGCGATAATTTGTTAACCGATTTTAATGATCCTTTTTTTGTTGGAAAGAGGGTACCTCAGTATTGGTCCCATTTAAAGAAGAAAATATTCCATCTCTAATGGTTTTTTTAAATAATTTATGCCACCAAGTGGTAAGAGATACGCTTGTCCAGAACAGATGCAGTGGTGCTCGGAGTTTTAAATCGCAAAGAGCTGAGGGGCACTACCACTACGTCCGTCCCCCTGAGACATCATTTGACAAGTCCCATGTGCCTGCAATTTCACCAGCACCCTTACCCTTCAAAATTTTACCCTTGGCGGCAGAAATAAGTAAGGACGAACTCTTTCACAGGGAGGCCTACTGCTACCACAAAAATATAATAATGAATTAACATGATTTATATATAAGATTATTTCAATTTCATAATGAACTTGAACGTTAAACATTGTACGCCCGTAGCGGGTAGATTGTGAGGGCTGTAATTATGTTCATTATGACCTTAATGTTATCTAAGTTGAAAAGCCCCATAGGCCTGTAATTTCCCTAGCACCATTACTTGGTCAACCCGATTAAATTAGTCCAGAAACGTTTTGAGATCTGTCATGTCTGTTTTAGCAACAGTGGAGCTCCTTGTGAAAGAGCTCGTCCTGGGAAGTACTGCCACCTTGCCTATTTCTGCCCCCAAGCACTAATAACAGCATTACTGTGTTCCAACTTTGAAGGGTAAGGGTGCAAGTGAAATTCTAGGCGCATGGGACTTGTCAATTTAAGTCTCAGGGTGACGGGCGCAGTGTCAGTGCCCCTCAAGTTTCTGCGATTTAAAGCTCTGAGTGGCACTGTAACTGTTATGGAGAGGTGTTTCGGGTGTCCTCAGCCTAATTACCACAATTACCGTAGCCATTGTTTTTACTCGCTTAATATACCTAATAACATTGAAATATTAATATAACTTTAAGCTTAACTATCATTATGTCCAAATGGCATTAGACTAAGTACTTTTCGAGTTATTAGGAAACAAATATTTTATGGGAACGGTAATTAGAAAGTTCAAAATATTTGTCTATCCCAATGCCATTTAGATATATTGATAGTTTACCTTATAGTTAGTCATATTTTAATGATTTTGTTTATAGTAAAGGAGAAAAAACAATGGCTACGGTAATTAGGCTGAGAACACCGAATGTGAGAATGGCCGACCATCAAGCGCACGTCTTGCTCGTCCCTTCACTTGATATTATAAAATATATCCATTTGGGAACTACGATACCACAAATATACACCCCCATACACAGACAAATGCTTCAAATGCAATATATATCTTTTCTCTTTGAGGGTCGAAGTTTAAAGAGTTCTATTTCAGTGTTAAATGCTATTTTCCCAGCCGGCTGCTTCCTCTATCGCGCTTGGGAATCATTATTAATAGGTCTTATTGGCGGAGCCATAGCAAGTGCCACCACACCACTTTTTGACAAAATGCATGTGGACGACCCCGTGGGGGCTTCAGCTGTTCATGGCGCTTGTGGTTTGTGGGGTGAGTACTTCATATTACGTGATTATAGGTGTATAATCGGATATAATTTTAAACATAAAAAATAGGTTCACACGAACAACCTTTCCATAGTATCATAGTTATACAATATACTTAATGTACACTCTGCTCACCGGTACGGTGCAGCAAGCGAATGGTAGAGGGTGAGGACTGAAAAACAGCAATGCTGAGTCCTTAACCATTTTGTCCACATTGCATACTCTTATTTCGTATTGGGCTGATCTTGTTATTACAATTTTATGTGTTTTGTGGAGAAATAAATGCCTTTTTATTTTATTTTATTTTTTATTTATGTAGAACAGTAGATCGGTTGGGAGAGCGATTAGCCCCGGTCTGACTAAGAGGTGCTGGTTTGAAAAGCCGGATCAAAGGAATTTTAAGAGCCTAGCGAGCCTAGATTTTAGGAGTTGAGGTCGCCTCCCGCGTCTCGCAATCCGCGCGTTATGAGAAATTAATATAAATAAAGTAAGAACAGGCGGGGAAAATTTCACACAGATCCGACAACGACAAGCGCCCGATGGCGACTGACGGGGCAGCGGGCGCCTCAGCATGTCGTTAAGCCGCTGAGCAATTTACAAATTTTGGGATAAATGCAATGCAAAAAATATGCAAACCAAAAATTTGCAGGTTCCCTGTAGTACTTAAAGCAAAATATCTCAATTTAAAAATTATGTACAGTTACAAATTTTATTTTTTAATTCGTTTTAGACTTTTATTTTCAGGATTTTATATGATTTAATAAAGGACATCCTATCGCGTAACACAACAACACATTTATATTATTTCTTTATATTTATTTTATTTATATCATTAACACTTTTTCCCGCTTCTTCTCCTAATGACTCGCCTTAAATTTGTCTAGTCTTTAATGTCTACAAAAAGCCCTTAACCTTTGAAAGCTTCCGTTTTTCCACTAACCAACCAATGGTTTACTGATTTCAATTTTAGGAGTAATAGCTGTCGGTTTGTTCGCTGATAATCCAATTCCAATGGACACTACTAATGGAAGATCAGGATTGTTTAAAGGTACAACTACAAACATAACTTTACTTCATATTACATTTATTATTGCTTTTATAGCTTGTTCATGCTAGAAATAACTACTATGATTGAAATGTGCACTTAATTTTAATATATGCCTGACCTACGTGTCTCTTTACATAAGATCGATTATGTAATATGTACCTAACGAAGTCTGCTTACAACTACTTAATGTTAATTTGTCAAACGTGACCATAAATATGAAACATTGTTTTACCTCCTTAGCTCAGAAAGGCTTTACGTTACGAAACGAACGTTATTTGCACGCTAAAGTGGTAAAGGTTTTTAAATTCGAGCTTGACGATGGTCTGTGGTGCACCTAACTTTTTCTTTCAATGAAAAAAACAAGATAATGGTCACGTTCAAGTAATAGTATATAAATCCGTTCGTATATTTTATTCTTGTTATTATTGACATTACATTGACAATGATAACTAATTGTGTTTATTAAATTATTTTAATTCGTTGGAGAAATAAAATAATTTCAAAAATCACACAAAATTGTAAGTACAAGCAAGAATAAAAATTGATAAGGTGCAAATACAGAACGCACCGAAGATAAACTTTTTCTTTTGATTAGAAAAACTGACGTTTTAACATTGACTTAGAAATAAATGGACGACGGGTCTAATACAAAAACCACGAAAAAAATGTCCCAAGTCAACCTATTTAAACGTAGTGACATGTAAAGAAATATGAAAAAGCTAAAACGTTGAATTTAAATTGTAATGTCATCGCAGTACTGTCTAATTTTGCTTGCTTCGCTGTCAGTCGAACAAACAAAGACTAAAGCGTGAATGACGCTCTGTATACGATTTTAACGCCCTATAAGTTCGGACACTTTTTAGCGCGGACCCGACGTCCATACAATTGTAAGTCAATGCGTTTTAAAATTCAAATGGTTTTTCTTTCGTCTGCCATTTTCCTCGCTGTAATGAGGTGAAAAGTTTTGTGTTTCGCTCGGCAGCAAATTTATTTTGCGTCTCGTGCCTTGAAACCCTTCTCGCTACGCTCAGGTTCAATACTCTGGTCAAACAAAAACTTTGCAGCCTTGAATAAAAAGAACTATTATGTATCTATGGAAGTGATGCATTTTAAGCCCTTGTAGCTGCATTCAAAACTTGGAGGACGGAAAAATAATATAAGATGCGTACCGTCTGCACGCCGCGTTTTTTTGACACTGACACTTTGCAGCTGGCCCCTAGGGACTTCTACCAGAAGGGCGTACTGTAGGAGATCTACTAGTGTACGTGCTAAAATGGGGCACCCTACGACCTCGTCGGCGAGGACGGTTGTCATGTGTGGAATGAGACTGGTTCGCGATCTGGTTGGACTTCAAAGTGGCGAGAGTAATAGGTTCGTCAGCGTCGTTGAGGACTTCCCTGGGCCGACGGGTCCTACATACGTGGTGGGGATGTTCCCTGAGAGGGACGTAATTGGATGCGCTGCAAGTTCACGGCCCGGGTCTTTATATTTGTGAAATAGCTGGATGCTGATAAGCAATAACATGTCAATCAACATGATCAATATTTTGCGAAAATGGCTACTAAAGATTTTTTTCGTTGTTTTTGATAGTTTGTTTTTTTGAAGAAATTTGTTTGTAAAATGGAAACTTTTGCAATTGCCACCTTAGGAATGATGAGTTGTTGTGATTTATTATTATAATTCCCCAACAACAAGCACAACAGTAAAAGTTTTAATTTTATATGTAAATTTTAGAACAAACTATTAAAAACAACGAAAATATCTTTAGGTGCCATTCTCGCAAAACTATGATCAAGTTGGTTGACACGTTATTGCTTATCTGCATTGAGCTATACATCTATCTCGCTCTTGCAATAAGCTCTGATTAGTTGATTGTGTATTTAACACTTTTAGTATACTATTCAGCGCGTTTAGATTAATGGGTTCACTGCACCAATCGGCCGCTAGATACCCTACGTGTACAGTACAATAATATTTTTAGGATGATGTTGGGACTGCCTAGTCTCTGCAGTGCATCGGGGATGTTTGCAGATTATGAGACGGATGGTTTTCCTGCCATCCTCCGAAAAAAAACAACATCCCTGATGCGCAGAGTGCGGTACAGCCCTAACAGCATCCTTCAAACTGTAGCTGGTAGGATTACCTCTCCCATGTGGCAATACTTCATCTACTAACGCTAATTTATAAGCACTTTTCCTATTATTATTATTATTATTACAAACAAATTATGGAACTCGTGGTCTGAAATAAGAGAATTTTATTTATGTTTATTTATTTTATTAATGTAACAAAATGGCCGTCGCGGCCAGCAAACGTTACGTATGCGGCTGCATTCCTCAAGGGTCTCAATGTCTTACCATATAATTACATAAATAAAAGCTTACATTGAAGAGTGGACGAGGCATAAGTAGACTATTTCTTGGATACCGGAGAATGGCAAAAGAAAACAAGAATTTCCATGGAACGGTTGGTGAGAAGAATTGAACTAGTTCGATAAAAAGTAGGATGGATTTCCCATAATAGGAAAATATGGAAGAGGGTACCTACTTAGCACAAGAGTATAGTGCAGGCTTTAAGTAATAATAATATTACGATCATACAGTTTATTTCGATAATATTACCTCTGCATGATGCAATCCTTGAAATGATCTGAAATTCAATAACAAGTAATATTTTTTCCTGTTACGCAGGAGGAGGCTGGTACCTCTTAGGCGTCCAGACACTGACTGGTATCTGCCTTATGACCTGGGGAGCCCTGGTCACGATGGCACTGCTGTGGTTTATTGACAAAATCCTACCTATCAGGTAAAAATTAGCCATTAGTATTGTAGAGATCAAGTAGCTGATCGTGATATCTTCTCGTGGGCATGCCTACTGCTTTGGGTTCATAATACATCCATATTTTTTATATAAAGTCGTTTTTAACGCATACTGAATTGACCTTTAATGCTTTTATATGATATAAACGAAATTAAAAAGGAAATCCAAAATCATATAAAATTCATCACAGTAACTTTCCCTGTGTTCATATACCCCATCTAACTACTTAAAGGAATATGAAATTTCTGTTCATAAATCTTGTAACATCAATGGAGTTTTCGCCCCGGAATTTAACTATTTATTTACCACACACAAAAAGCAATAGATACGTTATCAAAAACCACACTTGAAACATCGAAAAAACCAAAATTAAAAATTTCCTAAACATGTGATGGATAAACCCTATTAGACTTTTTAACTTCCATTACCAACTTACAAATATATGTACCAAACAACAACACCAATTGCCTGGTCTCAAAGTAGTGAATTCCCTATAGGTTCTATGAGAACCAACAACAGAATTCACTATGGAGCACTTCCCAGTACACCCAGAACCAATTTAGAAACTCCGCATCCAGCGCCCACAACCGTAAACCGTTAGCCTCAATTGGACGTAGTTAAGGAAAAAGGATGCAATCCACAATATTATCAAAAAATGAGTTATATGTACGGTTTCAAAAGTCTAAATTAGATCAACATATAAACAAATAAATATATTCGGAGTTACATGACATTATAAGTTTTGAAAATAAAACGAGAGTGAGAAAAAACTTTTCAACTTCAAACTGCCATATCTCGAAAATGACTGGATTTGCATTAAATCCTTCCAACTACGTCCAATTTATACTACAGTGGAACGGAATGGAAGGGAATTTTTGTAACGATATCATACATAGCGTAATTGTTGGCTAATTATTGAAGGTTTACGGGAAGCGTTTGTAAGATATCAATATGTGTATTGGAAGTCACAGATGTACCTATATGAATCTGTAAGACAATTGACGTCGAATGACAGCATTAGTTTAATTGCGCGCCGTGCTCCATAGACTAACAGTAATGCTTTGTTGTCAATTGTGTGACGTACAAACTAGATACGAGTCATAAATTAAATCGCGCGTCTTCCGCGGAATTCTCACGCATTCGCAAGCATTCGTAAGCAATCTGAAATTGTCATACTTTACAAGATTATTTATTCCAAAATCGATGCCCCTAATCTTATTTCGTTAATTAATTTTAATACAAACAATCGCGTCCATAATCCTGTGACTTTCACACGACCGCCTGATCGAATTCTCTCATATCTAATGAATAGTTGTGTTTTCATAGATTTGTTTGTTTCAGAATGGATCCATACGAAGAATTACTAGGCGCCGATCTTTGCGAACACAGGATACGGCACGGACAGGTAGGTTCAAGTGTATTCTAATGCCTAATAAGGTACAGTTACATACACAGCTTTATCTATACACACATTATAAGCTCTCTATGATGTGTTCAGGAACCGCATATTACGACTGGCAAAATGGCAGCAAATAAAAACTTTTCTCACGCATAACACGCGACCGTAGTTTTTATTTTTAATTCATAGACAAATTAGAATCGGCCCCAACTATCATATCGTTCGATATCAAGTAGATAACGTGTGAAATTTGTCAAAATTGTTTGCTATTGACATTTCATTTCGAACAAAACTACATCTCGTCTGATATTAGAATTGAGGTCGAATCAAATTGTTTTATTTTTTAAACATGTTCAAAATTTGAATGTAATAATAAAATCGAAATTGATGTTATTATTAATCAATAATATCGAGTATATAACCAGAAATAGAAACGAAATGTCATTTAATTTGTTTGAAAATTATTCTGCCATTACTGTGACAACTGCGCTCCGATTGGCCAGCCCGAGTTCGAAACAATTGTCGTCAACTGTTTTGAGCTTTGCTATAATGGACGAAAATTGCAAAATTACATATTTAATATTTAATTACCGATGAAATGTGATTCCGTATGTTTTGTAATTAGATGTTTTGCTCTTTTTCCCACACCGCCGAATAGAACAGCACGGCATTGTTAGAGATGTTATCTTTATTACAATAAATACAGAATATTTTTTGGAATATAGGAAGACGTACGCACAAGTCAGTAGTTGGCCTCTCTATATTTCAGTGCAAACGGGAGTTGATATTTATAAGAGTTGTATCGCTAATGTGTTACCAGGAATATATGGCCCTTATTTCGTCTCTATTTCTGGTTATATACTCGATAATCAATGATAACATTTTCTAATAAGAAATTTGTCCTAACAAAACAGTTTATCTTTATGCTGGTCGTAATTTAACCGCAAATTTTTGACAGTTGAACACATCATAGAGGGTTTATGATGTGTGTAGATAAAAGATTTATAAATGTGGAATAACTGTGAACGCATACTGCTTCTCGTTACAGGTGGGAGTATCCCGTGCAGTGTCAGCTCTCCGTCCATACCATCGGTCTAACAGCATAGATGAGGTCGGCGGTATTGGCGTCAATACAGGCCACAGTTTGATTGTTGATAAGCTTTACGAGGTACGACTACTTAGACAGTATAGGCAGAATTGTATATGTATATTGTAATAAGTAACTGTAAATATTAGACAACTAGGACTTCATGTTTTTATGCTCGAATGTATTTCTTATGTAAAATACATTCGAGCATAAAAATTTTTTGCTAAATCTTGACCTTTAAGAGAAGTACAGTGCAATTAAAATTTACGGCGATAATGGAATGAAAAAGCCCGTGGGCGTATAGACGATTGCATCGATAGAAACACGCGACTGCATCGATACAGCTTGTGATTGCATCGATGCAATCACGCGTTTGTACTTAAAGTCACGCGTGTGTGTAGAGGTAGACAATTAGCGACTGCATCGCGTTTACATCGTGTTTGCATCGCTGCTAAAACTCGCCGTGTCTAAGAGGCAGTTTCGCCATTTTCTGCTGTTTGGTAGTGCCTAGTGATGATTGCAAAATTACAACCAACGGATACAAAAGTGTTGTTAAATTGACCTTTCATTAATTGATGAATTGACCTGAACAACCTTTGATTTTTTTACAGGCTCACTTCAAACAGAAGAACATCAAGGGCAAATCAAAGGTCATGTCTACTAACGCATTTACCTACGAAAACCCTAGTCAAGTGCAACCAGAGACAAAAAGATTTAAACACGGTTTCTTAAACAAACGCCCAGGCAACCCAGATAACGAATTACATAGAACCGTCGACGCCATCTCTGAAGAAATTAACAAACCAAATTTCGTTTTTCCGGTTAACAAAAGCAGGAAGAACGTTCCAGAAGGTAAAATGTTTAAAGAGCTGTCGGTAACCGAGTTGGAAGAGTTAGGGGAAATTAATGCGAGTGAAGATAGATTCAGGTATCGATTCAACGAAGAAGATTATGAAAATGATGTTCTAAGAAGTCAATTAAGATGGATTGATTGAAAATTATGTCATAATTTAGATTTGAGTGTATGACTACAGTAGAGTCCAAAATTACATAAATATTCCCAAAAAAAAATAAAAAAGGTGCTCTGTACATTTTTCTCATATTAAATCCTACGAATATTCTTTGTTTTTTTAAATGCGATGATTCCCAAAATGATGAACACACCTACCTCTCAGGGGTCCACTCCAATCAACGAAGAGACCATATCAGCGAAGAAAAATAGAGGGTACATGAAACGTTAAGGGGAACTTGAGAGTGGAACCCATTTAAACGGTTACCTATCACAAGCTAGAAACATGATTTACAGAATTATGTTTCTCCGAAAACCTTTACACATTTATTGAATTGTTCCTTATCTTAAAATTATAGCGAATGTTTTTTGTTTATGTGGCCTGCACGCACGCACGCACGCACGCACGCACGCACGCACGCACGCACGCA